GAGGCCGGTAGACTCTGGATGTAAGTGGAACACTGTGATACAGTAATCTGGAGCAAGTTAGTTGATTCAAAGGAAACATCCTTATTCTCTGTTAGTGTGATGGAAGTGAAATGAAGTGATTGCATTCCACCCTCCAATTACCCTATCAAGCAATCTAGTAATGTTTCATATCTCATTTCTGTACCGATGTGTGCTTGATTTCAAGTCCCTATAAAATAACATTTTTCTGCTATGTGCTTCGTTCCAGACATTAGACCAAGAAAAAAGTATTTGAAGTAATTTTAAGGGAAAGGATAATTTCCAAGTAACATTCTGTGGTTTTAAGAACTATCAACTTTATGATCTTTACAGAGATGTTTCATATAGTTGATGATGTATCTATTAAAAATTCCTCCTATAGTGGGAATACTAATTTCTGAAGGCCTTGCCTGTGTAAAGATGCCTTATATTTCTATACCTCCTTCTATGCTTCAATTTAAATATATTTGGAAGATGTTAATTCCAAACAAGGTGAGTAATTGAAACCCGCTTTGTGCAGAAAAATTGCATACTGCATGTATTTACCACACACTCCATCTGAATTGTACAGACTTCTGAGCAGATTATTTCCTTTGCTGTCACAATGCAAATAAGCCCTGATTTCTCACTGGCAAGTTGGTAACTGAAGGACTCACATGGCTTTGCTCCTTTATGCAGCTTCAATATCTTGTTTGTGTGAGGGAAACAATCATTTTAGAGAGTAATGTTTACTGTTGTTTCAGAAAAGTGGGGCACAGTGGCTGGTAAGCGCACAAGTGTCAGCAACTCACGAACATGTTGCCTTTCCCAGTTGTTCAAGTAGGAGGTGCTGAAGAGATAGGAGGAATTTTCCCAGGGGACAGGAGGTCCTGACAGGTTGAACGCTGTTGGAGTAATATAAGCACTTTTCTATGCGTCTGATATGATGCAACTCATCTTTGCAGATCTATTTGAAAAAAATACAGACCCTTTTTTTCTTTTCTTTTATATATGTCTCAACAGCACACATTCTTCCCAATGGTTCAGCTATTATGGAAGTTTGCAGAGATACCCATTCAGTTACTTTCCAGTGTGAAACTCAATAAAATGGAAATATAATAGCCTCTGTAAAATACACAGTCTACGCAACAACTGATGAGCTCATAGAGATGCTTACAGTCTTCTAGTGATATGGCCTTCTGTTTTTTATGTAGTACTCAGTCTTTGTAAGATTGCATGTCACCAGTAGTATATAGGCAGGAGCTTGTGTGCTGTGGTAATGACTGTCATGAAATGCAGGCCAATAAAACAGGCATATAAAAGGAAATGACAGAATGTGAATGAAGAGGTTCCTTGTGGTAGGAATAAGTATTTTCTTTATCCTTTGTAAAAATAAGGAGGTTTTCCTATTACCTTCATATTTTTTAATGCACCCAGGTTGGTTAACATAGACTTCTTGTAAGCCATGTAGCACCATCAGCATGGGTTCTGCAGTTAAATCTCCTTTCCACTTCAGTACTTCAGCAGGTTTTTTTTGGGGTTTTCCTTTTAGCAAGCATCTGGAATTTGCTTATACAGAATAGATTGAGCAAAGTTTAACATTAAAAAGAATACATCATAAAACAGGTTCCCCAGTACTACATTTCTCACCTCCTCTGGTAATTGTATTTTTGCTGACTTCATCAGGAAAGGTAGCAGTGTGCTGATTTTCTCAAACCATGAGAACAACCATGTGGAAACTCCATCTTTCCTAATCACAGAAAGGGTGAAAGTGCCTTGCTCATCAAAATTTAAAGTTTTTCCTGAAATAATGCAGATTCAGTCCTTATGCAAAATTATGACAGACTAGAAAGAAAGAAATCCTTGGAGATCCACCTTCCCATGTTTCTCCCCTCTGTGTTGTTTACGTAGGCAAAACTGTCCTGGGAATCCTGCTTTTTCCCCTCTCTGTTCAGTAAGATAGGCTATTTCGTCTATCTCTATTGAGGTCCTTTCTGCCGTTGTACAGTAACATGGAATTTGTTTATTCATTTTCTAAATCCATCTGGCAGTCACAAAACACCCAAAGCTTTATTTTTTTTTCCTCCTTCTCCTACTGTTCAGTCTCTACATTCCTTTTTGTACAGAGGAAGCTTCCTTTTTGAGACCTGAATTAGCAGAGCACATAATCTCTTTTAGACTTAAGCATGCAAATGGTCCCATTGACTTGAGTCTGTGAGTCATCTATAGGACGACTCACACACTTGTGTTTAAGCTGTGACTGAGGAGTCTTGGTGAAAAATGGTCAGATGAAACCTGCCCAACAGACGTACCCACTGAGAACTTCTTACAAGCACTGAGTTTTTTTAGTTCAGAAAATATTTAGGACTGTATAGAAATCCAAGGAAGACAAGCTCTAAAGTTTATTAACTAGCTTAAAAGGAATGGATTGTTCTGCTTAGTGCCAAACCAGCATTGGTACAGGGGTGCGCAGATGCCCAAAGGAGTTTCAGGGCTTTGCTTCCCTGGGAGTGACATTGTTTGGACTTTAGAAATTATTAGCTGTTAATTAGGTACATGGAAGAAGTTGCCAGCTGAAGTTTTGATTGGAAAGGTACCAGGACTTTGATCATGCAGATCTAGTTTTGCTCTCTGTGGGTGGTCAGAATTCTAGCCAGATCAGAAGATGGCATTTACTTACTTTTCCAACAGGATCAGGAGGAAATGAAAAAGATCCTTCCAACAGCATCAATGGATGCGGGAAGACTCCTTGTGCTGGGATGTAGTTTTTCTTATCTGCTGCCTTGTATTTTGCAGAGCTGCTCTGTTCTCTGGGAGCATGTCTTGCTGTGTTGTTCAGACTTTGGAAAGGGGTAACATTTTTGCCCATGGTACAATTCTGCTTTACCAGTTCCTTATGAAAATACTTTTTGAAAAAAGGGTTGGAGAATTCGAGACTTAAGTTTATCATCCCTATCAAGCAAGATAGTTTCTCTACCTACTCCAGAAAATGTAAGTCCTTCTATTGAGCAAACATCTTTCTCTTTGCCATTTATCTATCTGGTCTTCGAGCTGAAATGTAAAGAAGGGCAGAATCACAAAATCCACATCAGAAACAGGACAAAAATCTCCTTTTCCTGGTAATCTCCAGGACTGAACTGGACTTTCTTCCAGCATCCAAAACTGGCCATGGAGATTTCCAGTCAGCGCGAGCTAGGCAGGTGTGGTGGGCTAAACCCCGGTTGGGTGCCGGGGGAAAGAGTTTTTCGGTTCCTCTCTTATTACCACCTAAATTACTTTTCTTTTTTTATTCCAGCTGAGGCGATTCTGACCATCTCTCTGCCTCACTCAAGTCCATAAGCTTAAGTTTGTATATTTCATCTTTCTCATCACCTAGATCCCTCTTTTCGCTACTCCACAGAGATACTTTTCTTCATGCTAGAACTACAGGACAGAGCAGGGGAAGTGGAAGTGTGTTTACTCCATGGGTCTTCTTGGCACTTTCCTAGACAGAAAGCCTTGAAGTCATCAACAGAGCTAAAAATTACCGATGCAGCCGATAAGGGGCAAATGTGTTTCCTTTTGTCTCATCCTTCCTCCTCTTTCCAGTGCTCTGATGTTTCACCCGCATAAACAGCAGTGGCCAGATTCATCAACACCGTCTGCAAGCCTGGCCCCAAAGCCACCACTTGAAAACGTATAACCTGACACTTTTTGCTTCAGATTTTGAGGCGGGGGAGGTGAGAGGAAGGGAAGACATGTTGCAAGAGGGCAGGTAAAACCTCACAGGAATTAATGTGTATTTGCCATGTGGAAAAGCTTCGTATAAGTTAATTTTGAATCTGCATGGAGAACTACCATGTGTCCTTTACCAGTGATAACTGCCCTTCTCCGTGACCTTTTGATGAACAGTTGTAATGAACTTTTTGCGTAAGTGAGTGGTCTTTAGTAATTTGGCTCTTCCTTTTGTTTTCAGAACTGTTCAGACCTATGGCTTCTCTTTGTCTTTTATAGCAAGAGAAACGTAACAGGGGAAAAAAAAAAGTCTTTTATCTTCATAAAAAATTATTGGGATCTCTGCAAGGAAAATCCCATCTTTTAATAACTGACATTTCTGTATGTTCTTCTTACTAAATCACTACCCTTAAACACTGAAGGGTGGTGTTTCACACTCCCGCTCAGTTGTGTTGTTCAGTGTTTTGTGAAGACTTTGGAACTAGAAGGCGGTTTATTCATGTTTTCTAATAATAGTCCTCTGGGGAGGGAGGACTCTGCAAGGGAGGAATGCAGGAGCAAAGAATGATCCTCATTAAGATGCTATGTGAAGGGTGTCAGCCTACTGAGATCCCAGCTGTGCTCCAAGCCCCACGCTTCTCATGAGCGAGAGAATGAGTTGGGGTGTGTGTCTAGTGGCACTTCTGTGGAGAAGAGGGAGGCAATAGCATTTCTGTGTTTCAGAGGCT